CTGCCGCGGGATGCTGGCTGGGGACAATGCTCCTGACTCGGCCTGCCCAACAGGTTGGCCCCAGGGCTGAGGCACCTCCCAATCTCATGACCCAGTTGAGAGGGAGGGTTTGAACCCCAAGAATGCCCTGGACTGTGGTTGGCCAGGAGCTGGGATTTCTCTGAGGAGGTGGCCTCTTCAGCCTTGCTCTGGCCTTGCCCAGAGCAGGGTGACTGGGAGGCCACTTTGCTCAGACCTGTTGAGAAGAGGCCAGGCCATACTGGGGGAGCCCTCCCTTGCACAGCCACATTTCCACAGTGTGGACTCAGGCTGGGATCAACTGCCCTGCCACGGACTGGCTGTGACCTTTGGATGTTGTTTATTTGCCCTAGTCTGTTTCCTCAGCTGTAAAATGGAGGTGCTTACATACCATGGAATGTTATTCAGCCATGGAAAGAAATGGAGTATCAGCCCATGCTATCATGTGGATGAACCTTAAAAGCATGCTGGGTTAGAGAAGCCAGACACAGAAGGTCTGGATATATGATGTGAACAGAATAGGCAAATCCATAGAGACAGAAAGTAGACTGGTGGTTTCCAGGGGCTGGCAGGAGGAGGAAATGGGGAGCATCTGCTTAATGGATGCAGTTGCCTTTTGGGGTGGTGAAAGTGATTTGCAAGTAGATAGAGGTGGGTCCTTACAACGTGTGCATGTGGTAAATGCCACTGAATTGGTCACTTTAAAATACTTTATTTTCTGTTATGTGAATCTCGCCTCAATAAAAATTATGGGGTTGCTACTGATCTCATCAGGTGGTTAGGAGGAATGAGAGACAAGGTGAACATGAGGCTGAGTGCTGGATGCTAGTCGTTGAGGATGGAGCTGCTTTACCCTAGTGACTGTGTCCATACCCTCCCTCCAGCCCTAGTCCCACCCCAGACTGCTGGGGTCCAGGCAGAGGCCAAGGCAGAGAGGGGGGCTGGCAGCTTAGGCTGGCATAATCCCTTTGCCAGAGGTAAAGGGGACTTTAGTGGCTGCTTCACCAGCTGCAGGTCAAGGTTCCTGGGCTGCAGACCAGGCTCCAGCCTCTAATTTGCTGGGGAATTTTGGGCTGGCCCTTCAACTGTCTTTTCCTTAATCTGCCCATACCTGCCTCTACCTGCCTTGAAAAGTGCATGTGACCATGGCATCTGACATGTCACCCCTGTCATATCCCTGTGCCCAACTCATCTTCACAGTGCAAGCCACTGCCACGCAATGTATTAGGAATCTCCTGGTTCTTGTGTTTATTATCTGTCTTCCACACAGAATGCAAGTTCCACGTGGGGAAATACTTGATCTGTTTGGTATTTCCACCGTCCATTGCCTGGCAAAAAGTAGGTGCTCCACGAATGTCTGTTGAACATGACTGCATCAATCCTCATTTACATGGTGGATGCCAGGTCCTGTTTGTACTGTGCTGTCACTTAACAGCTGTGACTCAGGGTTATCATTATCCCCATTTTGCAGATGAGGAAGCTGTGGCTCTGGGACGTGGAACGGCCACCGTGGAGCTGGGATCTCTATGCAACAGCCTGGCATCAGAGCCCTTGCTCTGACCCACCCTGTCCTAGGTTATTGCCTGGTTCTGGGAGGCAGCCTGGGGCCTGGAGCAGTCTGCCCCCTTCAGCCACCGGGCTCCTCCCACTCCCAGGACCTGGGCGGCTCCACACCCACCACCCTGGAGCCTTTTTCTCAGGCTTGCAACCACTCCAGACCAGCTCCCTTCCCTGAGAACCTCTGTCATAAAGAAGGCGAGGCCCTGATCTGGCCTGTCTCTCCACCCCTGGAGCCTTCCTCACCCAAGGGAACCTTGATTATAAATATGAGGGTCACGCCTTGCATTTTGTATTAAGCACCTTTCATCTGGGGAGCTCCTGGCTGAGAGGAGGCTAATTAGCTGCTCTCTGGGAAGAGTGAGTAAGAGCTGATGTTCCAGCTCAGGCACTGGCTGACTAGATTTTGGGCTGGCCCTCCTGGGAAGTGGGTGCGCCATCATCTCAGGCCACCCACCCCTCCACATTCCTTTTTGCTGCAGGACCTCTTCACAAGGGCCCTTTCTCTTTGACTGAAAATGCAGGCCACCATTTATTGAGTGCTTACTATGTGTCATCAAGGGATGGTTCTGACCCTTCTGTCTGTTGAGTGTGCCATGTGTGCACAGCACTAGGAGCTGTTGTGAAATGATAACCACGATGGCTCACATTATTGGACCTTACTCTTTTCTGGCTGGGGGCCAGGGCTTTGTGCACGGCCCCATTTAAGGGATGAGAAGCCCTTAGTGTAGTGCCCAGTGGAATAAGTACTTGATACTTGGTAGCTATTACTACCAATCTTCAGAATGACCCTCTGAGGTAGGTACTATGTTGTTCTCATTTCTCAGGTGAGGAAGCTGAGGCTTAGAGAGGTTAATCCACTTGCTGGAAATCACACAGCAAGTCAGGAGCAGAACCAGTATTTGAACCCGATTGGTTTTAAGCAGCATATGATTTTCAGGTGCTCTTCTCTCCCTCCCCACAATCTGGAGGCTATGAACTCCAAGGCTTTACTTTACATAGTTGTAGGGTCACTGAGCAGTGGGTTCTTTGCATTCATCCCTCCAGTGGTATATGCTAGTGGACTCTGCTTGGGGATCAGCTCATCCAACCCATCCCTCCCCTCCCCTTCTCCAATGAGAGAACTGGGGAGGGCAGTGACTATGCACGGTGACAGGCTGAATGGGAAGATGCCTCCTCATCAAAGCATAAGGAACAAAGAGGCAGGGGAGTGGGGCTGCAGCCCATCCCTCCTGCACCCATCAAACATGCTGATACCAAATAGCAAGCATCCTCATGCTAGAATACCTGGCTTTCACTTGCCAGGCTGGCCCTACAATCTGGCTACTTGGTGGTGGTCACTTCTGGTCCTCAGTGTCCGGCAGGGTGCGTTATATACCTCGTGAGTGAGTGCTGAATCCCCAGGACATGATGAAGAACTGAGCCAGTGGTCCGGTTCATGCCCCAGGACCAGTGACCAGCAGCCGCCTAGGAACTTAGAGATGCAAATTCTCTGTCCAGCAGTCTGGGTTTGAACCACGGGATTCTGGTGCACACTAAAGTTTGAGAACCACCGTTCTGCCAGTGTCCACATTGGCAAAGGGCAACTTGGGCTGCATAAGAGGAACCAAGGGATGCGCAAAGCCACGTCTCCAAAAGCAGCAAACAGCAGCCCTTCTCTAAGGAGGGGCCCCGTCTCCCCTGACCCCGACCCTGGCCCACGCGTGCTGTTTGGCGGGCTGGCCACTGGAGGGCAGTGCGACCACGTCCCCCGCGCCCCTGCGAAGGCCTCAGGCGGGAGCAGCTCTCGGAGCAGCCGGGAGCGGAGGAACGGAAAGGCGGCTCGTCCCGGGCAGTGGCCTCGGCCTTCGGGTCCCAGACGTTCCTAGAAGCCACAGCGGCTCGGCCGGCGGCACCATGGTCCCCGCTTCGCCGAGGAGGCCTCCCTTCCTCGCGCGGCCAGGGCCGGCCCGGCGGGGAGGGTGGCTGCCCTGGGTCTGGAAGGTTCGCAGAGCTCCGCGGCCGGCCGCGCTGGGGAGGAGAGCCGCCTGGGGCAGAGCTCCAAGGGGGCGGCGGGACCTTGACTGCGTCCCCGGAGGCCGAGGGCGACCTCCCGCGTGACCCCGCCGAGGCGCAAAAGGGCGGCCATCTTGGCGGCGGCTTAACCCCCTGCTCGCCGGCGGCCGCCTGGGGTTGGAAGCCCAAGTGCCCTGGGATTGGGAGGAATTTCTCAGAACTTCTGGAAAACCTAGTCCCTGGCAATTTCCCCAGGGGTGCTCGGAAATCCCACCCCACTAGCAGTTACAAAAGCCCGGGTTTTTGTAAGTGAATTGGATTTGTTCCAAGTCACCTTTCTTCTCGCCCCATTCAAAGAGCAGAAAGCCGGCGGCGGTGGGAGTGGCCGTCAGGTGTGCGTCGGTGGCCGTGTCGGGACCCGAGACGCGCTAAGATCCAAGGGCGGGAGCTTCGGAACAGGTCGCGCCAGGCTCCCAGCCAAGGCGCAAGGGCTGGGGGTCGGGAGCTGAATCTAAGCGCCAACTCCTTTGGTCTCTCTCCACCGTGAGGGCTTTACATGCCATTCCGAAGGCCATTGGAGGGGCCACAGGACCTCAGCTTCTAGAATATTCTTAATATTGTCATTCTTTCAAGGTCCAGTTTAAATACCCACTCCGGCGGGAAGCCTTCCTCAGTGTCCAGCAGAAGCTGCCTCCCCACTCCTCTGCCCGTCTGCAGTACCCTTAGCCTCTGCTGTAGGGCTCTCCGCCTTTCCTCCCTGCGTCCGCCCCCCGCTGAACCGTGGGCACCGCAAGGGGAGGGGGCATGTGGTGGTGGTCTTTGTGCCTTCCGAGGGGCCTCACATATGTAGGTCGTTCAGGAAAGGGTTGTTGCAAGAGAATCATGAAATTACTGAATGAGTTTTTGGTATTGGAAACAAAGTTCCCAAACATTTTGAACCTTGGACAAAGGAACATACAATGGTGTTTTCTTAAGCCCTGTAATGGAATCCTTTTGTATGTGTAACTGTTTTGAGTTATTTTTAGTAGAAATGTCAGGGTGCCCTAGGAACAGGAACCATGGGTCCCGCTTTGACCAAGAAGAGTGGCCATTGAGTCCCAGGTTCGCTGCTTCCTCTGTGTGGCTTCAGGGTCCCAGCGTGTGACAAGGGATGACAGTCAGCAGGTTGGGCCAAGGACCAGCCAAGGAAGTTCTAAGCTGGGCTTGAGGTCGTGATTCCAGGCTGAGATCTCAAGAGGGGGCAGGAGAGAGAGTGCCTTGAGCCTCTTGGAGAAGAAGGCTGAAGCTAAAGAAGAACCCTTTCTTTCTCTTTGTAAGAGAGTAAGCCAAAAGTGCCCCATGAAAGACTCCAGAAAACCCCTTTCATGCCTCACCCGCAGATGATTTGCTGAACGCTCATTAAGGAGAAAACAAAGAGGTGGTTTTGTTTATTTATTTAAGAGGAAAAATGAATGAGCTGTGACAAAACAATTTGAAACCAGGGCCCCTCTGAGATCTGGGCTTTCACTTCCTTGATGGGAAGTAAAACAGAATCGAATCCCCCTCCAAATAAAAGTGAAGTTAATAATCAGACAGCTTGAGCCCTGGCCACATCCTGTGTCAGCTTGCTCCCTCCCTGGGCTCTCTGTTTATAGCTGCAAAGCCGCCCTCCACAGCCAGACTCTTAACTCTTTCTTCCCCATCCTAAGGAGGCCCAAACCTACTCTGAGGAAGGTGGGCTCCTCTCAGCCTCTGGTGCACGCCTGGCCTCTTCAAGGCTGGCTCTCCCCAGGCTTTCCCATGTGGGCCTGTCTCCCATAGCATGTGTCTTCAGCCTGTGGCTGAGAAATTTAATAAGCCCGGCTTTGATCTGAGCAGTCTTCTCTTTGTCCTGCACAAAACTGTGCCAAAGTGGGCACAGAAGAGCCGCACACAGTATCCCCCTCTCTTTGCACACCTTCTGGGAGGCACCACATCTTTCCACTCCTACTCCAGCCTCAGGGCCTCCACTCCATGCAGCCTCCTCAGCCTGGTGGCCTTCATGAGCTGCATTCTGATGGAAAGAAGCATAAATCTTTGGGACCTCTGGTCTGTTTTGAGAGCAGTACTCTGCATGTCTCTGAGCTGCTTTCTATGAAAACTTCAGTATTTCTTCAAATGCCTTCCCGTGTTGCAATACAACAATATTTCTTACATGACATGTAGAGTTATTAGTATTGCATTGCCATTGGGCTGAGGAAAAACCTTTGCTAATATTTATTGAGGGCTCCCTATGTACCAGCCACTGTTGTAAGCAACAGTACTGCCCTACAGAGCCATTTGTTATCCTCATTTTACAGAGGGGGAAACTGAGGTACAGAGGGTCATGTACCGTGTCCATTGTTATAGGGCTGGTAAACAGCAGAGCTCGGATTTGAACCCAGACATAGTGGCTCCAGAGCCAGTGCTCTCAGCCCCTGCACTCAGGTCTCACAACAGAGAGTGCTTTCTTCTCTGGAGCCAGGGGGCTTCAGAGAGCTTAGAATAATCCTCTGAATGCATTTCAAAGGTCCCCAAACCAAAGGACCTTTTGAGAACTGTCTGCACTCTTTCTTGGGCGCTCCTTTCTTACTTGTTTTTCCTTAGGGAGGAAGGCACAGAGAATGTGTGGCTGGGTTCCATGGACAGGGAGGTTATGGAGAGGCTGGGGTGTGCAGGGGATTGGGATGGGACACACCCCTTTATCTACTTGCCAGTAGGCATAGAGCAAAAGCCCAACAACCTAGGGTGGCCATTGTCTCAGCATGTGGACTACCTTTTGCTTATGTTCCCTCATCCCTTCCTGTTCTGTAGCCTGTGAGTTCCTCATCTTATTTCACAAACACCCTCTTCTGGCTGAAGTTTGTCTCACAGGAAGCCACTCACCAGTTGCCTGGGGGAAGTGGCAAAGACTTATGAACTGGCTGTGTGGGCCACCTGCCGCTCCTGGGATTCCTTCCTCTGCATGTCATGGCTACTTAGATTTGTTCCTGGAAGGCTTTCTGTTGTCCTAGCACCTTGTTGAGCCATTTGGCAGGTCCCTCTGGCTTCGGAGGGTGTGTTGTGCTGCCCCCTGGTGTCTGGAGGCCTCCAGAAGCTCTGTTAGGGGGTGTGTGGGTGTATGTTTGCATGCATGCACTGCTAGGCAGAGGGCCTGCTGTCCGTCTGTGCAGCCTGACCACCACCACCCCATCTTTGGGAGTGAATCAATCTGCTGAAGGTTTGCTTTCTTAGGATGCATTTTGCCATTCAAACCATGGCCCAGAGTGAGCAGTGCCCTCTTCTTTATTTTAGAACTCATTCTGCAACTGGAGAGAGGCCATGGGGTCTCCATCCCAAGTGGCCTTTCTCCCCGGAGCACGGGTAGCTCCTTTGAGGAGAGAGGAGGATAGCAGTGGCTTTGACACTCGAAGGCGCTGACACTGAGCAGGATGCCTGACCCAAGGGGTCTCAGCTTGTGTGTGCCTTGACTTTAATTTAGATGTGTAAGTGAAACCTCTACAGAGCCATGCAAGATGAGGTGGCTCCACTGTGGTCCTAGGAGGCTAAAGATCAACATTTGCCAAAACTGTTAAATCAGACCTACCCTTTATCAGTGCCTACGAGTGCTAGGGCACCTTCCACACATTAATCTCACTTATCTTGCACTCTAGGAATCAGAGCATGTGTGAATCTCCCCATTTTCCAGTTAAGGAAAGTGAGGTTGGAAAGGTAGCCCCCTCTTCTGTAATGGCTCTCTGCTGGCAAAAAAAACTTCACTGTGGTTTAAAATACATTGAAACCAATTTAAAAATAATTTTCACTGAATTTTTCGAAGGAGCAGAAAGTGGATACCAGTCCCTCTGACTGTTTACCTGGCCTGGGAGGCTCCGAGGGGCAGGACACCACCCCTTGGTCTTCATCCTTGTGTAGGGAGGAGGGTCTGAGGTGCTTTCCTGACCTGGGGTGGTGGTCTCCCTGCCTGTTCTCCAGCCTACCCTGGCATCTGGCATGTCTCCCACAGCCTCATCTCTTGTCCAAGAGCACATGTCCTTGGGAAGTAAACAACAGGTTGCAAGAACCAATAAGACAAGAAATTCCTGAGTTAAAATTTTTTTTCAGCTTTTAGGAATTTAAAACATTTATGATGGAAAATTTCAGACATATACAGAAGGAGACAGAGGAGTATGATGAACCCCCATGTGCCCCATCACCAACCTCACCACCACCTGGCCATACTTGTCTATTTTTACCACCATCTGCCTCCCCATCTCCCATATAATACTGAGGTAAACCCTATACATAAGCTCATATCATCTGGCAGTATTTCAGTATGCATCTTTAAAAAAATGGACTCATTCAACTTAACCACCTTGTCCTTATTTCACCTACAAATGAATAATGCCCCCTAAATAGTACCAAGATTCAGTTGATGTTGACATTTCCAGAACATTTTATTAACTCTTTGCCTTTCTACTTAAAGAAGAAAAAAACTGATCCTGAACTAAGATTTTTTCAGTATTTGGTCATATCCTTACAATCTAGCTCCTGAAAAGATAGGTTTCTGAATCTGGGCAGAAATACCTGGTTTGTTAAGTCTCTGATGCCAATCTGATCACTTCTTACGTTCACTCCCGCTACAGCACTCCACCCGCCAGAGCCATGCACATCGTGGGTGTGAGGTCAGTATGTGCTGAGTTTCACGTAAGGATGAACACATGTGAGGGTGGGGATGCAGCCGCGTTGCGCTAATGCGGGAGGACTGGAGTGGAGCCCCCTGCGTCCTCCCAACCCTGCTGTGAGGGGCTGTCCTTGGCTCTCCCTGCAGTGCTCCACCCGCCAGCTGCCTCCTCTGGGATCCTCTTCTCTCTCTTGCTCAGGATACTTGACTGTGTTCCAGTGACTCTGTGGAACCCCACTTTGTGGAGCCTCCAGCCTTCTTCTCGGTCTTGCCAATTTGCTGCTTACCATACAGCAACAGTTGACTGGGGGTGCTTTTAGGGAGGGGGCGCTGCTCACATGTGCCAAGCACTTTACTCATCTGTCCTCACAGTGGCCCCAGGAGATGGGTATTGCTGTCACTGCCATTTCACAGTGGAGGAGACTTAGGGAGGGCAGGTAAGTCCCTTGCTTGCCTAAGCAGTGACAGTGCCAGGATATGAATGTGGTCAGCCTAAACATTGGGTGCTCTCCATTGCAACATATTGGTTCCCAAATGTTAAGGCTAATTTAGCAAACTGCTAGGCAACTTGGCTTACAACCAGGCACTTACCCTTTTGAGGACAAATCTCAACAAGTTGGGATCTGTAGTCACCATGTGCTTTTCCCTGCAATGTTCATGTCTTCCAGAACAGATATAATATGATTTAGTATACACACCCTTTTGAGGAGATTAGCTCAGTTGAATGGAATAAAGTTTAGGTCATTCAGCCTCTAATTTCCTGGTTTGTCTTTTTTCATGGTTAAATAATAGTTTGAGTCATAGATTATGTGACTATGACAGGTTTGAAGGTTAGGAGGGATGGGAAGAAACTGGGTAGAATATCCAAGGCCACAACCTAGACATTTACCTTTTGTCACGTTTCTCAGTTTTTGATAGGAGAAAAATGACTTTAGGAACATACAAAATCAGGGTCAAATACTTGAGATTTTTGGAGGGAGAATGGTGTGGGCATTGTTTTCTCTGTCCCAGTCTATTGGAGTGCAGCCTGTGTGGCTGCAGGGCTGAACTTGGGAGGAGCCACTTTAGGTGGCCTGGTGAGGCTCAGGGCCTGGGCTACTGGGAGCCTGGCTCATCCACTAGAGACAGCCTGGGCATGCCAAAGTTGAGCTCTAAATCAAACGCATTCACGTTTTAACCTCCTTTGCTACTTGATTTTGCCTTGGTTTGCTTCAGCTTTCTCCCAACTCCTGCTGCTCTAGAGAAATGGAAGAGTGGGCAGAGGTAGGTTTGATTAGGTAAGGGAAATAGAAAACCAAAGCAGACACAGAGAAGGGAGGCACTGGCCAGCTCACAGAAGAAAGAGGCACAACAGAAGGCTGGAAGAGGCCAAGCAAAAGGAGTTCATGGGGTTTATGGACACAAGGCTTATGGACACAGGTGAACTTCAAGAGGCTGTTTGCCAACCATGGCAATGGGAAAGCTGTGGCTATCTTTAGATCTCCTTGGGAATGCCTGGAAATTAATTTAAATCACCTAAGTTGTTTCCAAAGGTTGCATCTGCTGAGACTGCCCTGGCTTTGCGGAGAGTTTCCAATGCCAGTCTTTCATGAACCCCTGCTGTTCCAGGAGTCGGGTGTTTGGGGATTGGGTTAGCCCCTCCCTGGAAGATGCAAAACTAGTAACAGCTCCATCACACCTAAAGCTCCTCCTGCTCAGATTCTCCCGGAGCCCTCCAGAGGGCACCATGATGGAAGTCACCAGCCTCTGGGGTGAACTGGAATGGTTTCCGCCTTGCCCCAGGAGGAGCAACCCTCACTCTGCAAAAGACAAGGGTGGTGGTGAATTAGGAGAATTGTGGGGAAAAGCAAAGACCAAAGGAACGCTTGCTTTTCTAGAACTGTCCTTACTCAGTATAGGGAAGAGTTTGAAATCCACAAAGAGCAATGACTCAATGTTACTGAGTGTGGTTGGCTGAGGGTCAAAGCAGTTGTTTTAAATACATTGCTGCCTCTGTTTCTCTCCTGGGTCTCTCTCTATTTTTTCTTTTTTTCTGGTGGTGTTTGCTTTCACATTCTTCTCTCTTCTCAGAATATTTATATCTGCCCCTCTTCTTTTTCATTCTCAATTGCCCTCCCCACGGCACTCTGCCTCCTTAGCATAACTTTTCTTTTGTGGCCTTACTGGATTCCTGGATGGTTTATTTTGTCTGTTTCCTGAATTTCCCTCCTCTCCCATTTCTTACAGTTGTTGTCCCTCCCCCCATCCTTTCCTTTAGTTTCAGTTCTTTTCCCTAAAGCTTTCCTGGGGCCACACAGGCTTTTATTCTTGTTCATCTGGTTAAGCAGTGCTGGCAAAGATGAGACCACAGCCGGCAGGCAGGGCCTCGGTGGCAGAAGAGGACCTAGACATCTGAAGATTCTCTCCCAGCCTGGTGTCCCTGGAAGAGTTGCCTCCTTCTGGAGAGGGGCTGGGGACAGCACTGCTCTCCCCCTGTGAGGGTGGATGTCAGCTGCCAGGCCCGGGCTGAAGGTTGTGGGCAGATGGTGTTTCCTCCACAGTGTGTGGGCCCAGGACCCCTTGCTCAGGGAGGCAGTGGAGGCCATCCTTCTCTGGGTGGACAGGTTGGGGATCCACTAGGTTCCCTCCAGACTCAGACGAGGTGCACCCCCTGGGCATGGATCATTTGGAAAGCTCTGTGCGTGGATGGGAGGATTTGTAGCCTAAGGGTCTGTCTCTTGGGGGCAATCTGGGTATCCTTTGATCCTTGCTCTCTGGCTGAAGCCAGCCTGGGCATCTGGAGCTGTCTGCTGGGAGACAGAGGCAGTTTTCCAGCAAAAGGTCCTTTCCCAGTGCCCTCATCCCTGGCCCACGAGTGTTTTGAGGGCACAGGGAGAATGCAAGAAGTGGCTGAGCACTGGGAGGCATCTTAAAGGCTCTTGGCCACTGGGGAGCAACACAAACTCCACCTGTGGGAGGCCCTGAGGGTCAGCCCTGCTACTGATAGAAGCAGGTGGTACTTCTCAATGGGTGCGGTGACAGAGAAACCCTAGAAGTTGTAGCTGCATCGCTCCTTGCCTGGAGTGCTGGGGAGGGGGGGCGAGGAGTGTCCTGGCTCTGCTCCCCAGCTGTCTTGAGGCAAATCGACTGAAGTCCATCTGGCTGTCCCCCCCAAGCCCAGGCTTTCTTCCCACCCTGGGACATCAGTGCCAGTGAGCCCTGACTGGGTCCTTAGAAAGCCTCTGGATCAGTGTGCACTCGGGTTGCATTGCATCCTGGGGAGGAGGAACCCAAGAGCGCCAGGTGGATGCCCATCAGGCTGCACTGTCTTTTCCTAGTCCTGTGGTGGTGGCCACGTGCTTCTCTGAAAGTGCCACCAAGGGCTCCCTCACCTTCTCCACATCATGCTCTCTTGCCAGCTCCCATCCATTCCTTCTCCTCCTCGATGCTTTCTGCCATTTTAGAAAAGTGCTCCTGATTATAAAGAAGCTTGAGATAAATCTTGGCTTATTTTATATTTTTCTTATAACTTACCCTTGTTTCCTAAACCTTCAGCCCTAGAGTCCAACTCGTGGGGTCCAGCCTCATTCAAGACCCTAGAACCAGGAGCCCCAGGAGTCCTCAGGTCCTTACTCCTGGGCCCTGTGGACTTGCTTTATCTCTGGCTCAAGGCAGAGCCACCTTCCTGACACAGAGGCCTATCCTAGATGAGACAGGGGACGACAGATGATGAATTTTCTTCCAAGTTCTCCCTCATCTCTGGCAGGAGGGCTGGGGGCAAAAATAGGGCCTGTCTGATGTAGGAATTCGAATGGGTATTGGGATCTGGCAACCTTGGGCCCCTCTCACTTGAGCCCAAGGCGCAGGCTCCTTCCCTCCGCAGTCTGGGGGCTGCCTCAGTCCTGCCACCTCCCTCTGCCCTCCTCTTCCCACGCACCACGTTGTATAAATATTTACACCCCCGGGGCTGGCAGGACTCTTTCCCCAGCTGCTTCCCTCCGTTCTGGGACGGCTTGTTCGCGCAGTGAACAGCTGAAGCAGATCTGGTTGCCTTTGGTCAGACAAGGGCAGGCCTTGGTTTTGGGGCCCATGGTTCCCTGGGGTGGAAGGTGCCGTTGGTGGGGGAAACTCAGCTCTAAAGAAGTCACAGAGCTGTGGGAAAGGTCTGTCCTCTCCTCCACCAGCTGCCTCCACGGTAACCCTCCCAGAGCTGTATGACCCCTGCTCTGGCTGGGGAGGTGGGTCCTGCCTCACTGGGGGTGCATTTCACTAGAGAGGGCTGGAGGATAATTCCAAAGCAAACTGGCTGGTGCTGGGAGAAAAGGGGAACTTAGTTTGCTTGCGAGCACTTTACAGTTTACAAGTATGTGCTGCTGCCTTGATCCTCCCTGAAGCAGACCCCCAAGTTTGGAGGGTGAACCCCTTGGAGAATCTTCATATTGGGCCTCTCCCAACCTTCGGCCCCAGGCCATCCACCCTCCCAGCATCAGTCTTTCTGCCTTGGGGCTGGGGAGTGGAGAGGACCAGGACTCTTTCCCCCATCTTCTTTGGTGATCCAGGAAGCAGGAGTTTACCAAGGATCAAATTGGCATTTGTTGGGTTCCCTTGGGCTGGGCACTGTGCAAGGTAGTTCCCCACAGTCTCATGTAATTATTCAAGCCTTAAGCCCAGCTGATTTTTTAGCTTCTTTGAGCACATCTCCTCATTCTGCCCTCAGACAGCAGTGTACCAGCAAGCCCCCAGCTGGGAGCCCCATCTTTCTCTAATCCCTTTGGGTTCGGTAGGAATTGCTAAGAGCCAGCAGGTGGACATGATCTCACTTACCATCAGTGGGTGAATGTCACCTGCCGCCACCTTCCACCTCCATGGCTTAGTTTCCTCCACACCTGTGAGAGGTAATGAACCTGTGTTCCGTGGAGCATTTCAAATTCAGCACCAGAACAGGTTTTTAAAAAGCACCATGGTTTCATTTAACACCTTTTTCTACAAGTGTGCGTGTGTGTGTGTGTTACAGAAGAGACTGTTCAGGCACTAAGAAGCTTGTGTGTTCAGTGCTCTGGGGAGGCTGATGAGAAGGAAGTCAGGGTTGAAAATGCCTGGCTTTCATATTCAACAACCCCCAGAATTCAAATAGTAGAGCCGCTGGGGATGGGGGATATGGGATTGGGTAGGGGGTTCAGATGGGGTCCAGGGACAAAGGCCCCAGGTCACCCTGCACTCACCCTTGTGCCAGAAAGAAAGCAGGTTCAAAACCTCTCTCTACCCATGCTTAGATCCCTTCTGAGGAGAGGAGAGAAGGTTACGTCAAAGGTGCCTAGGTGACTGCAGAGAAAAGCCTGGTATTCTGGAGGGAGATAGCCATCCCAAGGGGAGGAGGGGAGGAGTGGGCTGGGGTTGACCTGCCAGGGAATGTACAGGGAGAGAGGTGGGACACCACAGCTCAAAAGATGTGCACCTGCGAGATACTCCTGATGCCTGCTTGCTTCCCCCTCACCGAAGGGTAAAACAAAACCCAAATAAAAGCTTGACCCAGCAGATATTAATACTCCAGAGCCAGGGCTGGTGTGCAAGCAGCCGCCCCTTCTCCTCCTTCTGTTTCTATAAGCAGCTGAAATAAATTTAGCAAAACTACCCCATCCATCTGAGGGCCTAAGATTTCAGAGCAGTGGGACCCTACCCTGAAAGCCCCTGTTTTTCAGAGCTGAGAGCTTTTTGTTTAAACTCCCTTTGGGATGGAATGCTCTCAATCTAAAATAATTATTTTACTGCAGCCATCCATTTCTCATAGATAAATGCTTTGACACAATATGGCTTTCTAGAAAGCTGATCCACAGATGCTTTGTGGCTTGAAATAGCCAACTCTACAGGGCTAATGCCTGGCTGGGTCCATTGGGGTATTTATTGTAATATTATTCTTCATGATGTCTGTGGATGTTCAGCCAAGTCCCTCTGTTTTCTGTCATATAGGAGATGGTTATAGCTGCTAAGTTACCAAAGTAGAGAAGTACTTATTGAGGGCCTACTGCTGTGTATTAGGTATTGTGCCAGGCACTGGCATTGCTTTGAGAGCAGAGACTGCTGCCATGGAGCATTCATCATGGTGGGAAAGGAGATGTCAAAAAATTAAATTACTGGAAAAATGTCAACCAGTATCACACTTAATAGTGAAAGACCGAATGCTTTCCACTGATACTGGGATTAAGGCAAGGGTGTCTACTCTCACTACACCTATTTAACATCATACTGGAACCAGGCAGGGCAAAAAGGCAACAAAAAGAAATAGAATGTGTAAGATTTGAAAGGAAGAAAGTAAACTATTCCTATTTGCAGATAACATGATTGCCTATGTTAAAAAAATACAAAAAAACTAAAGGAATCTACCAAAAAAACCCTTTTTACAAGTAAAGTGACTTTTGTAAGATCACAGGGTACAAGGACATTACACAAAAATCAACTGTATTTTTATAAACTAGTAATGGAAAATTGGGAACTGAAATTAGGAAAAAAAATTACTATAGTTACCCCATAAGGGGGAAATATTAGGTATAAATCTAACAAAATATATATAGGATCTGTATGCTAAAGCTATACAAAACTCTAATTAAAGAAATCAAAGAACCCTCTCCCCAAAAAAGAAATCAAAGACCCAATTGAATAAAATAGCAGTAGAAAAAAAAAATAGCAGTAGACTTGTAGACACTGAGAAGTGACTGGTGGTTACAATCGGGGAGGGGTTAAAAGGGGGTGTGGGAAGGGTGAGGGGAATAAAAAGGGCACAGAAATTCTCAATTATAAGTTGGTCACACACATGGTAGTACAGCATGGAGAATAAATAGCCAATGATTTTGTAACATCTTCCTATGTTGACATAGTAACTACACTAATGGCAGTGAGGATTTAATAATATGGGTAACTATTGAACAACTGTGTTGTATACCTGAAACCAATATCAGATTGTGTATCGATACTTTAATAAAAAAAAATGTAGTGAGCAATGAAAAACAAAAAAGACCTAATAGACATACTGTGTTCATGGATTAGAAGATCATACATAGTAAATAGGTCATTTCTTCCTGAGCTGTCTGCAATTCCAATAAAAATCTAAGTAGGATATTTTTGTAGATATAAACAAGCTGAGTCTGAAATTTATATAAAAATGCAAAGGAACTAGAATAGCTAAAATAATTTTGAAAAATAAGAATAAAACTGAAGGAATTACAACACCTGATTTTAAGACCTACCATGAAGCTACAATAATCAAGACAGTGTGGTATTAGCAAAAAAAAGGACACACAGATCAGTGGAAAATATAGAGACCCATACAAATATGGTGAACTGATTTTTAAATAGGCACAAAAGCAATTCAATGGAGAAATGACATTTTCTTTAATAAACAATGTTGAATTCAACATGCATAGGCAAAAAATGAACTTTAACCTAAATCTCACATCTCCTATAAAAACTAACTCCAAATGGATCATAGATCTAACTGTAAGATGTAAACAATTAAGCTTTTAGAAGAAAACAGAAAATTTTTGATGACCTAGGGTTAGGCAAAAAGTCTTTAGGTAATACCAAAAGTATGACCCATACTGTGTTCATGGATTAGAACAAAAGATAAAACTGAAAAATTAGACTTCATCAAAATTAAAAACTTGTACTCTATGAAATTTATTTTTCAGAGAATGAAAAGATAAGGTAAAAACTGAAGAAAATATCTGAAAATTATATATACAACAAAGGGATTATATCCAGAAAATATGAACAACTCTCAACAGTAAAAAAAAACAAGCCAATTAAATGGGCAAGACTTGAACAGATACTTCACGAAAGACAGAGATGGCAAATGAGCACTTAAAAAGATGTTCAAATCACTAGCAAATTAAAACCACTGTGAGATACCACTACACATCTAAAATAAAAAAATACTGACAATTTAATTAAAGTGCTGGTGAGGATGTGGAGTCATTGGAAACCTCATATATTCCTGTTGGAGATGCAAAATGGTACATCCACTCTGGAAAAATAGTTGGGTGGTTTTTTTTATAAGCATACTACAATTATCATATGACTCGGCAATCCCACTCCTAGTTACCCTAGAGAAATAGCAACTTCTGTTCACACAAAAATCTGTACATGTTTATTGCAGCTTTATTCATGAGGGCCCCAAACTGGAAATAATCCAAATAATTCATCTTCAACAAGTGAACAGATAAACAAATGGTGGTATATCCATACAGTGAAATACCACTCTTTGATTAAAAGGAATGAACTCTATTAATACATGCAACAACATGGATAATTCTCAAAGTCATTATGTGAAATCATACATACCATATGATTCCATGTATATGGCATTCTGGGTAAGATGAAATTACAGTATAGAGAACAGAGCAGTGGTTGCCAGAGTAAGGGGATGGGGGAGGGTATGACCAAAAGGGGATAGGATGAGGGAGGTTTTTAGGGGTGATGGAATTGTTCTGTTTCCTGATCATGGTGATGGTAATGAATCTATTCATATGTTAAAATTCTGTACACCAAAGATCAACTTAATTGTACATTAAATTAAAAAGTAAAAATAAAAAGTTACAGGAATGAATGTATACTCACAGATGGAACTAAATATTTTGAAGGAAATAAGCATTTCATGAGGACACAGGAGGGAAGACAGATACCTTGCCTTGTGGGGGGAGAAGACACCAAGAATGGTTGGGGAAGTGATGCTTGAGCTGGATTCTAAAGATTGATTTGGAGTTTCCTTGGGCCAAAGGAAGGTCAATTCAGATGGAAGAAAATAACAGGTGTCAAGGCCCTGGGGCAGGAGGAAGAAGGGTTCATTTTCACCTGAAGCTGACTAGAGCAAGGAGTGCCCTGAGGGGTGGGAGAGGTGGTGATGAGGAGAAGAGGGGAATCTGAAAGTCCAGGCTGGAGCAATAAGAGAGAATCAGATTATGCTGGACTAAGGGTCTGCTTTTCATTCTAAGAGGGATGGGTAGCAAAGAGTCTAGGTTTTGAAAAAGACCACTTGGGCTACCATTGGAGAAAGGAATCTTGGAGTTGGAAAGAACCACTAGATTAGGTCTTCTCAGTCTTGGTACTACTAACATTTTGGGCCAGTTAATTCTTTTTGGAGGGCTGTCCTGTGTACTGCAGGATGCTGGGCAACATCCCTGGCTTCTGCCTTTTAGATGCCAGTAACACTGACTGATCTTTCCCCCCTAGTTGTGACAACCAAAAATGTATCTCAACATGTTGCCAAATGTTCACTGGGGGACAAAATTGCCCCTGGTTGAGAAACACTGCTCTACAATAATTGAATTCAGTTTTTCTGGCTTCATAATAGAATCATCTGGGGATCTTAGAAAATACAAATGCTGGGCCACATTCTAAACCAAATGAGGCACAATCTTTGATTTTAAAAAAAATCTATTTTTAAAAGCTCTTCAGGTGATTCTGGTCTGAATGATGTTTGAGCACCTCTGCTCTAGTTCAACCCTGTCTCCATCTACAGATCAGAACACCAAAACCGAGTTGAGAATGACCTGTTGAATTAGAGGCAGAGTAACTCTAGAATCTGAGATTCCTGACTTCTAGACCAGTGCTCCATCTAGGAGAGGTCTCTTAGACTGGCCTCTTAACAGTGGCATACAACATGCCCCTGGGCAAGCTGTGGAAGCCCAGACTCCTTGAGTTACCGACTCTCGCCTTCTGCACCTCCAGGTGTTAAGGCTGGCATCTCCCCTTTCTACAGAGCCCAAGTCCTTGCTTCCTGCCACCCCTAGAACCTCTGCTATCCTTCTACTCCCACTGCTAGATTTAAGGTGACAAAGTATCCTCAAGGTTTCAATGGCAAGGGTTCAGTAAAAACTGAAAAAACTTTACTGTGCTTCTATGTAGGAACTACTCCTGACACCTAGGTATAGAGAAGCCCTTATCCTCAAGGAGTTTATAGTCCAGTGGGGAAGTAAACAGGTAATTACCACAGAATGTAGTTAGACTGCTGGAGTGCTGCCCGCTGCAGTGGTACCCCTGCAAGAAAGGCATTTTGCGTGATGGGAGCTGCCTGAGCAGAAGGAATCTCTTGGCTAAAGCCCCAGGGAGGAGTGTGCAGCAACTACCACCAACTGCTAATAGTTTGGAGTGGCTGGAGGGCAACAGGCTAAGTACTGGCTGTAAAGAGTGTAACCTTCTTCACCATCCCAGAGGCTAAGTAACCTGACTGAAGTTGTGCAACTGGTGACCAGCCACCAGAATTGGGCTTTTCATCAGTCTAAGTAACTCAAAACTCATGGGCTATCCTGTGTCAGGCAGGCCTAGACAAGGAAGGGGAAGGTGCAGCTGTGGGCTAGCCTGGGAACTTAGCAGAACTTTGGAACTGTGGAACATCCCTGAGGGGAAAGTATTGAAACAATTAATTTAAGAATGAGGGTTAGCTGTCCCACTGCAAGGCAATGAGATCCCACCCGCCTTTCGCAGAGCCTTGCTAGCCCTGGGGTTGGATTTTCCCCACGCTAGCAGTAGTTCTAGGAGGTGTCTGCCTCCCTGAGCTACACCCCAGAGGTTCCAGACACAGTTTAGAGGTGTATTTACAGTAGACATTCACTACTCTCTCCTGAGGGTTCTGGCTGGTTTGGGGGCAGATATTGGCAGTTGAGAAAAGCCCATTAATCACTGTGAAGGGCTTGAGGATTTGGAGTGATAGAAGAGACTGGTGTTTACTGACTATCAACAGGGAACCAGTGGTCTTGTTTTCAGAAATGCTTGTGACAACAATTAGGTATTGTTCGGTTAGAGCAGGGTCCCATCCCCTCATTCTCACCAACCTTGTTCTTCCCCAGGCCCTGGGCCAGTGCCGTCTTCCTGTCTCCAGCTCCTCTCTCCCCAGTCCAGGGCAGGGAGTGGAGGCCAGAGAGTGATCTAGATCAAAGCTGTCAGCTGTCTGTTTACCGACTTATACTGAAGAATCCGCTTGAAAAGTGAATACCCCCCAGACTTGGTTTCGTGGTGTAATAAGGCCCCAGGAATGGTTTAGTTTAGCTAGGCATATAAAAGGATTCAGCTAGGCCTGAAACTAGGCACTTTAAGGAGGAGGAAACTGAAGCTTTGGTCAGTGTCTTGAAGTCACACAGCTAAAGAACGGCAGAGCCAAGATTTGGATACAGAATGCCCCATCTTCAAAGTCCTGGACCACAGATTTCAAAAGTTAGTGTTTGGATTACTAGGAGGCAACTTACTAAAAATACAGATTCCTGGCTCCACCCCAGAGCTGATTCAATGGGCCAGGGTCCAGGCTGAGGAATCTATATTCCACAAGCACTCCAGGTGAATCTAAAGCAGGTAACTCTGGGGTCGCACTGGGCCCTACCTCCCTCGCTCTCTAATCGAAGGACCTTGCTGCTGTCCCAGGATCTACAGCAGTGAAGGTTGGTGTAAGAGCGGGGGCCCAATCCGAAGAATTCGGGGGATTTTGCAAATGACCTTAAGCTGGGAAGGAAATGCAACATCGCAAGGCTCTGAGACGTTAGGTCGAGGGGACCCTGGAGAGGGGGAGTGCCTTGCAGGGCGCTGGTGACAAGGCCCGGGCGTCCAGGCTCCCCACACTCACCTGCTGCAAGTTGCGCTCAGGGTCCAGACTGGCCGACGAGTATATCCGTCGCACTTAACTAATTCCGAGGACTTTCACTTTACCCCTTTAACAAAAACTAACACCCCCAAGCCAAAAATACCTGGGTAAGCCCCTCCTCGCGAAGGGACCGGCTCCCGGCATGCCAGGAGGGCCCGGAAGTCGGGCCTGGGTGGGAGGACCTGGCCCATCGCCTCCCGGTCGGAAGCTGCAGCGCAGGTGGAAGGGTGGCCTCTCCCGGCACGGCGCGGGTGAGGAACCGGAGGGCGGACTGCGGAGCGGAGGAGGCGGGCAAGGGCCGCGCACGCCTCCCGTCGGGCTTCCTGCCTGGGTGGTGGCTTGCTGCCATCCCGCCACCATCGGGCACCTGCATAACTCCTCTGGGCTCCGGGCCTCAGACCCCCCACCCCGCCGTGGCCGGGCTGGACGCTGCTCCTCCGCCTCGTGGACGCCGGGTCAGCGAAGGGTTAAGGACACTTGCTCCCTCCCCTTGGCTCCCTCACCCTTGGAAAGTCCCCGAAATGACGTTTCAACCCGACAATTAAAAAAGTTTAATTATAGAGACAGATTCTGGGAGCTGGAACAAACTTGGTCGGTCGGTGGGGCCCGTAAACAACTCCGGAGCAAGCGGGCCAGGCTGGCCGCCGCCCCGCGGAGCCCGCGTCCCTGGGCGCGGGGGAGGGGAGCTCCGCTGGGAGTTGGATAAGAGGAGAAAATTCGAGGAATTGGCGTTCTCTTTGAAAAAAAAAAAAAAAGACGAAAACAAAAAAAACCTAAAACTTTTTTGCCAGCACAGAGCGCCGAGACCGCCTGCAGTGCTTCTGGCCAGCGGCCGCGGTGGGACAGTGGGTGCCGGCGGGCACGGGCCCAGGGCCGGGAAGGCGCCCCCGCCCGCTCCCGGTCCCCTTCCCCCTCGCTTCTCCACCCCTCCCCCGTCCCCCGTCCCCCCGAGGAGCTTCGCGAACCCTTAAAGACCAACAAGGCCCGTGGGGGAGAGGGGCGGGTGGTGGTGTAGGGGGAATGTAGGAGGATGGGGGGGGGCGGTTGAATAAAAACTGAAATAGCTTCACATCAGGACACAGACTAAGCTTGTGGTTTTAATGCGCACCCTGCTCTGTCCTGAAATCTGGAACTCATTACCTCATCACCAAGAAACTGCACGAACACCCCCCCCCCTTTTTTTTTGGAGCTGAGGAGCGACCAAACATCCCTTTAAGAAAAGCCCTACATTTGAATGATTTAAATTAAGGTGGATGGAAGTTATTTCCCTTTCTGGCGCTTCCCAGATTTCAAGAAAAGCTGAAAAATGGGAGCAGGAGGAGGGAAGCAACAGGAGGCTGGACAGCAGCAAAAAGAAAAGCAAGGGGCAGCGGCGGGTTAAAAATGGTGCCATCAATTTAAGTCAGAGGGGACAAAATAAAAGCCGACTGGGCTGGGATCACGTAGGTTGGTGGCTGCAGCAAAAGTGCGTTTCGCCAAGATGAAAAACAACAATTTCCTAAAACGGTTGTGATTTGGAAAGTTTCCCTGGGTTTGCTTGGAGGTTGACGAATAAATAAGAACTTTAGTAAAACTGTGTGGGGAGGTGTACGAGGGGGCGGTGGGGGTGGCGAGAGTGCGGTTCGAGCGCTCAGCCTTGCTCGCCCCGTCCTTTCCAAAGAAACGTGCTCATAATGGGGTGACCTAATTACATCGCAATGGAACCCGCTCTTAGCCACTCAGCGCACAGGGTTTCATAACAGACCCGGCGGCCTTGAGTGCTGGGAAGAAACGTGCGAGGGCCAAGGAGGCGGCGAGCCACGCGGGGAAATAGGAAAGAAACGTAGCCTGGCGATTTCCGCCGAGGTCTTCACTCCAGAACCCCGGCGAAGGCGCGGGGTATGGGTGGGTGGGACGTTAACAACTTTTTATTTGGGTGGGTGGAAAGGCATCGGAACCTAACAGCAAACAAATATGAATTTTACAGTTTCTGTTGGGGGCTTTTCGGTTTCAAGGATCCCACGCCCCTTTGCGCCCATCCCTCCAAAACAGCGCAGCGTGACAAACCATATGTTTCGCTCCCGTGGGGGCGGGGGAAAAGCAACAATTAAGTTAAAATGTCGCCTCCCCCCATCCCTTTACCTTCTTTCTTGCAAAGTAACTTTTTTCATTGGTTAAAGCGTCTAGAGGTGGTGTGTGTGCGCGTGTGTGGTGCGTGTTCGGTGTGTGGGTGCACGTGTGCGCGCGCGCTCGTGAGGGGGGGGAGTTTCGGCGTGGCCCATAGTTCAGAGCGCGGGTGAAAAGTTGTGGGTTGCGGGGTGGGTTTTGGGGGCGTCAGGGAGGTGAAAGATATTCACCAGGATTTAGGTTTCGTTAAAAAGTGTATTTTGTGTGCGTGAAATAAATACCACCCCCAGGCCTGTTATAACACAGCCGGCCCGGGCGGCGGTCTTTTTCGCGACCCTTCCTCCCGCCCACGGTCGGGTGCCGGCTACGCAGCGGGCGCGAGCATAGACGCGTGCGGCGGGGTAGATCGCGCTGCTCCCTTGCCCAGTCGGCTGGGTCCTCCCTGGGGAGAAGTCTCCCTAGTTTCCCCCACCCGACGTTCCCCACGTCTTAACAAGACCCATAAAACCCTAGAACAGCTTTGTGCGTCCCAAATTTATAGTCTCCTCGCCCTGCCCGGTTTGCGGACGGGAGCCGGGAGCCGAGTAGAGAACTTGGGAAAAGAGTCCGTTGTGGGGGGCACTCCGAGAAGTTTCCAGGGAGATATGCACAAGATGGAAACCGCAGCGCGGGCGCTACGGACGGGCTTCTGCTCCTGCTTGCAAAAAGAGAAAGTCGAACGCGCCTTCCTGCCTGGCAAAAAAACAACACAACAAGAAGCACCCCGAAGAGGTGGAAGGAGTGATGTCACAGCCAGCGCGCTGGCTGACAAAGGGGGAGGGGGCGCGCCCCTCCCCCTCTGCGCCAAGCGCGGCCCCCCGGGGGCGCCTCGAGCGCGGAGGAGCAAAGGGAGCGGACTCGAAACTTTTCCTCTTTAAGAAAAAAAAGTTGTGCGCGGCTCGCAGAGGGTTTTTTCTTTCTTTTTTTTTTTCTTCGCCTTCTTTCCTTGTCTCCCCTCCCCCTTCTTCCTTTTGAAAGTTTCTTTTTTTTTTTTTTCCAGAGTTTGACCGCATGGCTGATTCAACTTCAGTGTCAATCAACTTTTTTTTCGTCCTCTTCCTCATTTAAATAAGTTTAAAGCTCCTCCTCCCCCGGCCCACCAAATCTGAAACTATAAATTGGGCTTCTCGCGCCTCAGCCCGAGAGAGTCAGAAACGCGAGGGGCGCCTGGAGAGGGCGTGTGGGACTCCAGACCGGAGAGCCGGAGGCTGAGCCTTCCCTGCACCGGGACCTTCACGACGCCAGATTCTTGTCCCTGCCCCGTGCGAGCGCCCACGATGACCACCACCCTCGTGTCTGCTACCATCTTCGACTTGAGCGAAGTTTTATGCAAGGTAAAATGGGGTGGCGTTTGCTTTTCAAAGTCTTTTTCATTTTTCTCCTGTCTTCAGAAAGAGCGCCCAAAAGTTTATGTTTTGGAAAGCAAAGGAAAGAGGACGGAGAGGGAGGATGGATCCTTTTAGCGCTCTATTCCCCCCCCACCCCCGTTTGAAGGAATTTCGCGTTCTCTTCCCAACCCTTTTCACCAGTTCCTGGAGAGGTTTACATGGGAAGTTAGAGATCGGGGCTTTGGGGGGCGAAGTTTGCGTGGTGGGGATGCAGGGCATTGGCTGGGGTTGGGGTGATTTTCTGGTGATTCTTTAGTTCGGTTCTACTTGAGCCCGGTGTCGCTCGTCGACTCTGTTTACCTGTGCGGGCTCTGAGTCTCGCCAGGGCGGGAGGGCTTCGAATCTCTCCAGCCACATTGCGGGCCTGTGGGGTCTACAGGGGGTCCCTTGGGGAAGTGAGTATCGGGACCACCTATTGCTCGGAGGTTCCCCTTCTGTTCTTGGAGGGGCAGAGAATCTGCGAGAAAAAGGCCCATAGTTGTGATTCAAAGGCATGTTGCAAAACGAGTTTGCAGTGGGGCTTCAGTTCGCCCCAGCTCTGCCAGGCTTCCTCCTGTGCTGTTTGCAGCAGCCCAGCATGCTGCAAACTTTGGGGTGAAAGTGGAACTCGGGTTGACCTGCTTACCTATTTTCTCAGGGACCGCGGCTCGCAGATATGCAGGGCTGGGGGGTTGGGACATGACAACATGCTGACCCTGGGCTCAGGGGTCTCTGCAAAGGAGGATTTAATGTGGGCCTCCTTAAGCCGTGTAGCTTCCCTGCCGGTGTGGAATAGAGCAACTTTTAAACCCTGAATGTTCAAGGCGTGGCGTTTAAATGTACATACCAAAAGCCTACGGATGTTAAATGTTTTTCACCCCACTTCTCCCCAGTTTGAAAGCGGGAAGCTGCTAGTCTGTTTTTAGTTGCTGAAGTGTTTTGCTTCATTTAAACTAGTCGGGTCACGTTGCTCTCCTTTCCCAGCTTGCTTCCCCAGTCGGCACAGCTGCCAGGGCCCTAGGGGTGCAGTGTTGGTCGCCGTGGACCTGAAGAGCAACATCAAAAAAGTTTGAATTTCAGCTTCCTTCTCTCTCTCTGCTTTTTCAAAGTTCGGTTGCCCTGGCGCCTGCCCGAGCTCTCCAGCACTTCTTCCTTCTCTTCCCGGGTCTCCAGCTCTTTGATCTGTTTCTCTTTCTCTTGCGCTCCCCCCGCCCCCCCCCCCCGCAGGACTTTTTAAATGAACCTCATTGTTGGGAACCGACGCCTAACTTGGTTTCTGTAATCCGCTCCGTGGGGTGGTTGCTGTTACAGATTCCCGATCCCCCGCAGCTGGTCCGGAGGGACCAACTTTAGAATTTGCACAATAACACCCACATGGGCTGGGAACCAACTCCCCTAGGTCCCTGGCCCGCACCCTTTCAAAATCTTGGGTCCAGTTTGGACAGGTGACCAGGGTCCCATTGAAAACAGATCTCCCTGTGGTGGTTCTGCCTTTCTCTCCCCAAATCCTCTTTGACTAGGAGGTAGGTGGGGGGATTTGGTGTTACCCACCTGCAGCTTTGCGTTAAAGATTAAACACTGGTCCTCTTATCCAAGCCTACTCTTGCAGCCGGAAGACTAATTGCAAAGGCATCTTCCCAGTGGAGGGGGGGTGGGGTGGGCAGGGAATGGTGGGGGAGATCATTGTGGGAGAGGCACTCCTTCCCCAAGCATGGGGCAGTGAGTTTTATTTTCTTGAACCGCATTCTCCCCCAAACAGTGATTTTTCCTTCCGCTCCTCCCCCTTCCCTTCCCCCATCAAGATAAAGCAAAGGCAGTCTGGAAACCTGTTGCCAAGGGAAGGGAACACTTGTGAAAGAGGAAGTGGAGAATAAAGTAGAAGGCTGGGTGTTGGAGGATGGTCATGTAAGGGGATTGATTAAAGAGGATCTAGCTCATAAGTCTGCTGTGGTTTACCTGTTCGTGTGTAGGGGGGTGGGCAGAGAAATTTGAGTTTAGTGAAATATCTTGAGCTGAGCAATCTATTTGGATGGTAAAAAATTTATATGGATAAACGTGGTGGCTTTGGGGACTGGATATAGGGATACATTCTAGGGGTCTGCATGGAATACGGTGCACGTATAAAGCAATTTCTCACACAGGCCAGGATTTTGTGGTTTCTTATGCAGGAGGCCTACCTAAATCCAGGTGATGGGTCTGTGGGAGGCCAGGGGATGGAGGCTTGCTAAAGCAGAGGTGGAGATGGTTCTTTTCAGAGAGATGGGGCATTTCTGGTTGTGGAAGGGGCTGCCCTTAGTAGGTACCCATTTTGGGCCTGGTGGGTGGCCTTCATCACTAATCATCTCTCTCCTTTCTCTTCCTTCCAGGGTAACAAGATGCTCAACTACAGTACTCCCAGTGCAGGGGGGTGCCTGCTGGACAGGAAGGCAGTGGGCACCCCTGCCGGTGGGGGCTTCCCCCGGAGGCACTCGGTCACCTTGCCCAGCTCCAAGTTCCACCAGAACCAGCTCCTCAGCAGCCTCAAGGGTGAGCCGGCCCCAGCTCTGAGTTCTCGGGATAGCCGCTTCCGAGACCGCTCTTTCTCAGAAGGGGGTGAGCGGCTGCTGCCCACTCAGAAGCAGCCTGGGAATGGCCAGGTCAACTCCAGCCGCTATAAGACGGAGCTGTGCCGCCCCTTCGAGGAGAACGGTGCCTGTAAGTACGGGGACAAGTGCCAGTTCGCCCACGGCATCCACGAGCTCCGAAGCCTAACCCGCCACCCCAAGTACAAGACCGAGCTGTGCCGCACCTTCCACACCATTGGCTTTTGCCCCTATGGGCCCCGCTGCCACTTCATCCACAACGCTGAGGAGCGCCGTGCCCTGGCCGGGGCCCGGGACCTCTCTGCTGACCGCCCCCGCCTGCAGCATAGCTTCAGCTTCGCTGGGTTTCCCAGTGCTGCTGCCACGGCCGCTGCCACGGGGCTGCTGGACAGCCCCACGTCCATCACCCCACCCCCCATCCTGAGCGCGGATGACCTCCTGGGCTCACCCACCCTGCCAGACGGCACCAATAACCCCTTTGCCTTCTCCAGCCAGGAGCTGGCGAGCCTCTTTGCCCCTAGCATGGGGCTGCCTGGGGGTGGCTCCCCTACCACCTTCCTATTCCGGCCCATGTCCGAGTCCCCTCACATGTTTGACTCTCCCCCCAGCCCTCAGGATTCTCTTTCGGACCAGGAGGGCTACCTGAGCAGCTCCAGCAGCAGCCACAGCGGCTCAGACTCCCCTACCTTGGACAACTCAAGACGCCTGCCCATTTTCAGCAGACTTTCCATCTCAGATGACTAGAGTAGGGAGGAACCCCCTACCTACTCCATTCCCCCACCCTGCTCCCACATCCCCTACCCTCACCTCCCTACAATCCCACATTAAGATTAAGCTGCCCCTTTCCCCCAGAACCTTGGAATGCCCCTCCCGCCTCTCCCTTTTAACCTCTACCCCCCCCCCCCCAACAAGGACAAGTCAATTTGTCAGTAGCTTCCTCTGGCTTGAAACCCCTTCCCCTCAATTTTGTAGCCCACTTACCATGTGTAACAGACAAGTCCCATATTTATCAGTAGATGCCTTTTTTCTGGCTTAAGCCTTAAGTGCCAAATCACAAAAGAAAAAGCAGTTAACAGTTTACAGAAGCAACTTAGTGCCTTGTAATCTAACTTTGTCACTGTGACTACATTACCTCTTCAGCGCCAGAGGGCACCCGTGGGCCTCCCAGAGCCTGTGCCCGTGGGGAGGGGAAGGGGACCCAGAACCAGCAGCTCCCTCCACTGGCGACAACTGCACCTGCCCTTATTTTCAGTCTCCCCCACACTTTCCGCCCCCCACCCCCACCCCCCAGTGCCTTCCATGCCCTTCTTAGGGAGAGTGTTGCCTGACTTGGGTTTGGGGAGGGAGACCTGTCTTGACATTCAAAACTTTTTTTTCCCTACCTGAACCTCTTGACTAATCTTGCCTGGGTTCGTGTAGGTCTACAGGAAGGAAGACTGAACAAGCGGATGAAGATTGTGACTAAGTGGGACTTTGATTTAATTTTTTTCTTTTTAAGTGGGGAGGATGGGGAAGCTAGATGGACTATGAGAGACTTGATTTTGGTGCTAAAGTTCCCCAGTTCATATGTGACATCTTAAAATAACAAAAAAAAAAATGAGAGAAAAGCTGAAAAAATCATGTAAGGGGTGAGCAGTTAATGGTATTCATTCCACATAAAATATCTGTAAAACGATTTCCTGTAGAAGTAGCTTTAATGGTTTTTGCTCTAGAATACCGTAGGTCTATCCTTAGAGCACTCACGCCATGCTTTTTCCCTGGGTTTTAAACTTCATATAACTTTCAGAAATTGGAGAGCAAAAATTTTGCTTGTCACTGCACATCAATATAAAAAAGCTTATTTAACTTATCAAAACGTATTTATTGCCAAAACTATGCTTTTTTTTGTTAATTTTGTTCATATTTATCGGGATGACAAATCCATAGAATATATTCTTTTATGTTAAATTATGATCTTCATATTAATCTTAAAATTTTGTGACGTGTCTTTTTCCTTTTTTTCCACAGTTTTAATATATTATTCTTCAACGACATTTTTTTTGTAACTTTACACTTTTTTTGGTTATTTTATTTTAAAAAAAATGAAAAATTAATTTAAAAAAATGCAAACAACTGTTGGATTATTTATTTTAGAAATTTCCCCCTTTTGTGTTGGACTGCAAATTGAGTTTCTTTCTCTTTAGGCCTTTCACAACTAGGACTGAGAATGTATGTAAAAGTTCTGTGACAGTACAGAAGGAAAACAACTTTTATGTATAGTTTCTAAAAGGGGAAAAAAAAATACCCTTTGACTTCCATGTGCCCATCTCAAGACATTCCAATCACACATTTGAGGTTCTGGATTCCTGGTTTGGAGTTTTCCAATGTAAATGCAAACAGAACTGGCACACACACACACACACATACACACATTAAGATGAATGTAATTATTCCTCTTGCTGGTCACTACCGTCGCTTTCTATTTCTCTTTCTTTGTGTGAATTTATTTAAAAGAAAACTTTTTGTAACGACTATTTGCAGTTTAAAAATCAATAAACCCCGTTTTTTCAAGAAACACTGATGGTGAAGCTGATTTTCCTGGGTTGTAGTGTGACTTTGCCTACAGGTTCGTCCCTTGTACACAATGTAGGTATTGGGGATGAGGAGGGCTGGTTGGTTGTTTCTCCTTACAGCCAAATCCCTTTGTTGATGCTGGAAGCCTGCAGAACTTAGAGGGGATGGGATGGAGGTTTATTGCGAAGGCGCCTGTGCTCTGTATTCCCTGCCCATTGTGGTTATCGGCAAGGGACCAGCCTTGCCCACCTGTGCAGCCTCAACCTCGGAAGTTCTTCAGGAATGCTGAGGCGTGGGGGTTTCCAGTCTTCTCTGTATAGCCTGTGGTCTTAATTCCATGTTTGGGGTGCAGAAATGGAGAACAGAGCATGCGGGATTCCAGCAAGCCTGGGTTTGAGTTATTCTTACTTGGATGTTTCCAGGAAATTGATCTAAGGCCCTAGCCCCTCACCACTTACCTGGGGTGGGTATGGTGAAACACTGCAGGCTTGAGGAGCAGCACATCAGGGTGAGGGGCCCAAACCAGCCTTGGGAGTGGGGATGGTTTCACCTGTCTGACGGGCTTCTGTACGTGGAAAGCTGTTAATGGGAGGTGGGTATTGAAATGGCAAAACAACAGGAAGTCAGCAGTTCCTACCACGGTAGTCTGTTACACTCTGATGCCCTGAAGAATAGGTAGGTTGTCCTCTAGGGAAGGGTGGGGTCCCCAGAGCTAGGAATACCCAAGATGACCACTTAGAAGGGGTGTTTTGCCTGTCAGAAAAGTTGGACGTTCTGAAAACCCAGTCAGAAGTGTTTTTGGGGAGGCAGCAAAGGATAATTGCTGTTTTAGGCTTGACTGCCTTTGACTCCTTGCACTAAGTTTTGGGGGGTAAGCTGAATTTCCATCTTGGCTCTACCTGGTCTCTCCTGACCAGTCTGCAGCAGACACTGACTGGCCAGGGCTGTCCTTGAGGCAAGGGAAGACCTACTTTGGTCCCTGAGACTCTGGCCAGCAGCTGATGGCCAGGGCCTGAAAGCAAAAAAGTGGGAAGGGAAAAGCAGCCCTTTCTGGGATTGGAGTGAACCTGGGCGTTTTGTCTCATAAGGATGGAGTGATAGAGTGTGTGTATGTGGGGTGGTGGGTGTGTTTATGGTGGGTGGTGATGGTTGTGGCTGTGGCATGTGATCTCCCTAGGACTAAAACCAAAAAAGACATTTAATTGTTCACCTTGAGCTCACTGCCTGCAGGCATAGATGAGCATGTGACAGACATCCTTCTAATTCCCTGACTCATGATGACGTTGGTTCAGAGGGGACTAAGCATACCTACCAGCCTGCCCAAAATTTCCTCAACTGGAGTCAGTCCCTTGAGTGATATACCAAAGGTAGAGACAGGCACTGACTTTGGGAGACCATGGAGGCTGGGGGTTGGCTGTGAAGGCAAGGGGCTCCCTATGGCCTGGGGAAGGAAGCTCTCTGTCCCCAAGTCTTGACCCTTAATTTCACTTACGTGTCTCGGTGGGAGGCCCACACAGGTTGGGATTTAGGCCACCCAGACCCATGCAGGCCACAAGACCCTGATTTTCTACCATCTAGATCTTAAAAGGTAGAGGAGATAAGTCCGAAGTTACTTTGGAAAGGAAATAGCAGAACCCTTTCAAGCCCATTCTTCTAGTAGGATATTAGAAGATGAAGAGGCCTTGGCAGCAGCAGGTGTGAGCCCGAGCTTGTACAGTTCTCCGTCTCTGAGCCCTACAGCAGGGAGGACAGGAGCCATGCAGAGAGAGCTGGAGGTAAGGACAACACCAAGGGGGTGCAAGGTGGGCCAGGCCTGCCTCTGTCAGCCAATTTCCTGGACACAAGGCCTACCTTCCCACCTCCTGCCCTAGACTGTGGGGCATCTCTGATTTGGGGGCCTGTACAAGGTCTGCCTGAGGCCTCCACGGCCCTTGGCCCTGCAACCCATAGTCTGGCTTTGGCTGAAGGTCTTGTCTTGGAGCAGCTCTAAGAAGTGAGCTATTTTGGCCACTGAGTAATGACCTACCTTTTCCAGTCTGGAAGCCTCATTTTCAGGAGGAAGGTTGGGGGCCTGGTGTACATCAATAGCACTCTGAATGGAGGGCCTTTGAGAGAATAGGGGCGCAGACATGAGATGAGTTTGCAGCCCTTTGGATCATGAAGCTCTGGTTAAAGGGGCAACAAGGGTCACGGCAGGAGGAGGTTTCCATGGCAAGGGGGAAGAAGAGTGTAGGAGCCCCTTCAACCTGGGTTCAAATCCCAGCTCCCCTATACCAACTTATGCCTTGGGCAAATGACTCAATCTTGATTCTCCATTTCTTTCTCAAGGGGTGACTGTGAGGATCAAGTGAACCATTAGCAATGACAGTTCTTCACAACTACCAGGTAGTCTGAGAACTTTGTATATGTTAACTGGTTAAATGCTCATAGTGACCCACAGAGGCAGTTCTATTCCCTCCCCATTTTACCTGTGGATGCAGAGAAGTTTACTGATTTGTCCCATGTGGTCATGAGAAGTCCATGCTAGAAGTGTCAGGATTTGAACCCAGGCAGGCTAGCTCCATCATTGCATTTCACTACCATGTCATAGGCTGGCACACTGAATATATTTGATACAGTCCCTTGCACATAGTAATCGCAAATTGACTGGTGTTAGTTCCCGTCTCCCTTGGCCTTTGGTGAAGATTTTGCAGGGGCGTGAGAGGCAACCAGATGGATTAGATGACTCTGCATATATCCCTTCTACGAGTGTCATGAGCTCATGTCCTATGAGGCCCTGGACTGGTGTTTGGAGAGCACTGCCTGGGAGGAGGGGCAGACCACCCCCTTGGACTTTCCCCTTCTCCTCCTGCCATGGGGTGGCTTCTGTTAATGATCGACAGAACAAAGGGTGCCTCGGGGCTACCTGGGGAGCTGGCCCTGTGCCCTTCTTCCCCCTGGGGACTCACCCCCACTGCATGCCAACCATTTAATCATGTCTAGCTGGACTGACTGGATCATTACCCAAGTTCAGAGAGGTGGGGAGGGCCAGGGGAGACCATCCAGACTCTTTACCCTTCCCTGCTGCCTTGTAGATGTCCCTTCCCTTCTCAGGCTGACCTCTGGTCTGCTGGGCAGTGAGCAGGGATCCAGAGAGTTGAGAAGCAGGGCGAAATCTTTTCTTGAAGTCAGATCAACACTGGGAGTTCCTGTGGTGACCCACCACTTGGAGGGTAAAGTTTGGATTACAGAGAAACCTTCTGGCCCAAGGGCCTACCCTGCTTTTTGTAGGCATCCCAAAGGGTTACATCTGAGTCACCATTGTGGGAAAAAAAGCTAGTCTGTGGGGAGCCAGGCAGGGGCTGCCCACATGGCAGGCCAGGTTTCCTCTTCCTGCCTGGGAGAGCCAGCAGCTGGCTGGGGGACAGGGGTGCCTCCACCATGTTTAGGCTATTTGCAATTGTTTTGACATGTTGGCAAAGGCAGAGTCTCAAGGCATAGGGCTGTAAGTGACATTTATGTGTGCTATCAGCTGGGGGTATGGTGAAAATAAATATTGTCAATGGCCAAAATGGGGGCCATTTTCTCACCACCTGGAACCAGTCTGGTAGCTGCCTCCTGACTCCCAATTGTACCTCAGGAAGAAAAAGCTCATGACCACATGGGACAGAGTTTATTTCTGTCCACCCCAGTACTTCAGGGGGATGGGAAGCTCTGCTGCCCAGGGTGAGGAGCTGGTTTTGGAGTCAGGGAACCTGGGTTCAAGTCCCATGTCAACTCATTCTGTGACCTCAGGTTGAAAATTAGCAAGAAGCTCAGAGCTTCAGTTTCCTTGTTTGCAAAATGGAAGGTGGTCATGAAGATAATTACACCTAGTTCAGTGGATAAGCAAACTGTGGCATAGTCACATGATGGAATACTATATAGCTGTATGAAGAACAAATGACTGATACACACAACATGGATGAATTACAAAAGCATTAAGTTGAGTGAAAGAAGCCAGCCACAAGAGAGCATGCATGTTGTATGAGTCCATTTATATCAAGTTCATAAGGAGGCAAAACTGATCTATAATGATAGAGATTAAATTATATGATAGAGTACAGGCATACCTCATTTTATTGTACTTTGTAGATACTGCATGTTCTACAAGTTGAAAGTTTATGGCAACTCTTCATAGAGCAAGTCTACCTGTACCATTTTTCCAACAGCATTTCTTCACTTCGTGTCTCTGTATCACATTTTGGTAACACTTGTGATATTTCATGTTTTTCCATTATTAGTATATTTATTATGGTGATCTGTGCTCAGTGATCTTTGATGTTATTATTGTAATTGTTCTGGGGCACCACGAACAGTGCCCATATAAGATAGCAAATTTAAGCTATAAATATTCTGTGGGTTCTGACTGATTCACTGACAGGCCATTCCCTGTCTCTCTTCCTCTCCTCAGGTGTCCCTGTTCCCTGAGACACAGTATTAAAATTAAGCCAAGAAATAACCCTACAATGGCCTCTAAGAGTTCAAGTCAAAGGAAGAGTCTTACATCTCTCACTTTAAATAAAAAGCTAGAAATGATTCAGCTTAGTGAGGAAGGCATGGCAAAAAGCCAAGACAGGCCAAAAGCTAGGCCTCTTACGCCAAATAATTAGGAAGCTGTGAATGCAAAGGAAAAGTTCTTGAGTGAAATAAAAAATGCTACTCCAGAGAACACATGAATGATAAGAAAGTGAAACAGCATCATTGCTGATAGGGAGAAAGTTTATTGGTCTGGAGAGAAAATTAAGCCAGCCATATTTCCTTTAAACCAAAATCTAATCCAGAACAAGGCTCTAACTTCTTCAATTCTGTGAACTCTGAGAGGTGAAAAAGCTGCAGAAGAAAAGTTTGAAGCCAGCAGGGGTTGGTTCATGAGGTTTATGGAAAGAAGCTGTCTCCATTAAATGAAAGTGCAAGGTGAAGAAGCAAGTGCCTATGTAGAATCTGTAGCAAGTTTATCTAGAAGATCTAGCTAAGATAATTTGTGAAGGTGGCTACAGTAACCAATGATTTTCAGTGTAATGAAACAGTGTTCTATTGGGAGAAAATGCCATCTAACACTTTCATAGCTAGAGAGGAGAAGTCAATGCCTGGCTTCCAAGCTTCAAAGGACAGGCTGGCTCTCTTGTTAGGGGCAAATAGAGCTGGTGACTTTAAGTTGAAGCCAGTGCTCATTTGTCATTCTGAAAACCCTAAGGCCCTTAAGAATTATGCTAAATCTACTCTGCCTGTGTTCTATAAATGGAACAATAAAGCCTGGATGACAGCACATCTATTTTCAACATGGTTTACCAAATATTTTAAGCCCACTTTACTGAGATCTACTACTCAAAAAAAGAAAGATTCCTTTCAAAATATTACTGTTCATTGACAATGCTCCTAGTCACCTCCAAGTTCTGATGAAGTATACAGTGAGCTGAATGTTGTTTTCTTGCCTACTAACACAACATCCATTCTGCAGCCCTTGGATCGAGGGATAATTTCTACTTACATGTCTTATTATTTAAGAAACACATTTCATAAGGCTAGAGCTGCCATAGATAGTGATTCCTCTGATGGATCTAGGCAGGGTAAACTGAAAACCTTCTGGAAAAGAGTCACCATTCTAGATGCCATTAGAAACATTCATGAGTTATGGGAAGAGGTCAAAATATCAACATTCACAGGAATTTGGAAGAAGTTGATTCCAACCCTCATGGATGACTTCAAGGAATTGAACACTTCAATAGAGAAAATAACTGCAGATGTGGTAGAAATAACAAGAGAACTAGAATTAGAAGTGGATCATGAAAATGTGACTGAAATGCAGCAATCTCATGACAAAACTTTAATGGATGAGGAATTGCTGCTTAGGGATGAGGAAAGAAAGTGGTTTATTGAGATCAAACCTATTCCTGGTGAATATGCTGTGAAAATTGTTGAAATGAAAACAAAGGATTTAGATTACTACATAAACTTAGTTGATAAAGCTGAGGCAAGGTTTGAGAGGACTGATTCTGATTTTGAAAGAAGTTCTGCTATAGCTAAAATGCTGTCAAACAGCATCATGTGCTACAGAGAAATTGTTTGTGAAAGGAATAATCAATCGATGTGGCAAACTTCACTGCTGTCTTATTTTAAGAAGTTGCTACAGCTGCCCTAGCCCTCAGCAGCCACCACACTGGTCAGCAGCCATCAACATTGAGGCAGGACCCTCCACCAGCAAAAAGAGTGTGATTCGCTGAAAAGCTCAGATGACGGTTAGCATTTTTTAGCAATAAAGCATTTTAAAATTAAGATTTATATATTGTTTTTTTAGACATAATGCTATTGCACACTTAATAGACTATAATATATAATAAAAACACAACTTTTGTAAGTATTTGGAAACCAAAAAATTCATTGACTTGCTTTAGTGTGATATTTGCTTTATTGTGGTGGTCTGGAACTGAACCTGTAATATCTCCAAGGTGTACCTGTATATGCACATAAAAGTTCATTTTGCTGTATGCTGAAGATTTATGCACTTTAATGTATGCAGATTATACCTCAAAAATCAAAACCTATAGAGTTGTTATGAGTGTTAAACAATACATATAAGGAGAAAAAAAAGAATTCAGTACTTGGTCCATTATAGACACTTAGTACATTGTGCCTGGTTTTGTAATAGCCACAACCTGAGGATAACAGTACGGTTCCCTCCCCTTTAGAGGAGGGAGTGAACTCAGAGCAGGTGAGTAACTCACCCAGGTGGAGTGGGATTGGAGCCCCAGCACACTCTCTCTGACGCCTATGCAGCTGCCTGCTACTCTTCATGCCCCTTGGGGTGCAGGAGTTGCTTCTTTAGAAAAGCTAAATACCCAGTGATCCAGACTCCAGCAAGCTGGCTTAATTAGTAAATGTAATTATTTGCATTAGAAAAGAGTTTCTCTTTTTGCAGATTCTAAGTTAATCTTCTGTAGCTCGTTTGTGTCTCCTACACTTTCTGTTAAGTAGGGGGCGTCCAAGTGGGGGCCTAGCTACTCTGAGACGTTGGAGAGAGGAGGGCTTAGCTAGATAGGCCAGCATCAAGGGACCGCTGTGCCCATGTGGCCTGCTAGTCCTAGCCCATCTCTCCCCAAGGCTGATGGGGGCACTGAGGCTTCTGAGGGATCTGGCAGGCTTAGGTGGGTGTTGGGATTGGCCTGCCTGGCTCAGTCTGTCCTCCCTGGCCCTCAGGCTCAAGGGTGCAGGGAAGCCTCACATGGCCACCACTTGTACCCTCTGTTCCAGTCCATTCTTCTGGGAAGTGGTTCCAGCTGCAGGGCTCCAGGAGAATGTTCTTGGATCCTGTCAGAGGGAGATGCCCCACTCAGCCAGTAGAACTGCCCACCCCAAGGCTCTGGGGACAGGTTCTTGCCAGGCTGACCTGAGAGGGCGGTGTGTGGAGGCAGCAGCCTCAGTGCTCTGGGAAGGGCCCAAGGCTTGGGGGCAGGCAGCAGGGCAGAATTGAAGGACATGCTGACCTTGGGGTCCACAGGTAAGTGCCTTAAATTTTGCACCCTCAGCCCCTCACTTTCCTTCCTCTCATTCCAGCCCTAGATTTGTGACCCTGCTCAGCCACTTACAAGCCATGTGACCACGGGCAAGTCACTTAACCTCTCTGACACAGGTTTTCCTCCCCTAAGCATGGGCAGAGGAAGCATACTCACTGTCTTGCCAATGGGTTTCACCCCCGGGCAAGTTTGCTATGAATTCAATGTGACCAAAGAAATTGACAGTAAAACATTCTTTGGGGTGAAAGGGTTGATTACCTGGCTTGTTCTCCGGTGGAGTAGGTCGAGCATTAGCATCTTTGCCTCCGCCCAGAGCACTGGGCCGAGCTCTCTATATAGCGCAATAATAGCTTATTGCCTAAAAGTGTGGAAGCGGTAGCCTAGCAACAGGCCATCAGGTGGTTTAAGTTCAGTGAGGATCCTGGCCATAGGAACCCCAACTTCCCCACACTTACCTCGCCCACCTTACGGAGCTGTGCAAGGCTCGGGGGTGGAGACGCAGGGCTTGGGGAATGAAGAGACTCTGGACAAAGGTAGTACCAAGAGTGTGGGAGGAGCTTGTAGCCCTCAGGGTGACAGAGCCCCTCCTCCAGGGACATTTTAGTGTCAGAAAACCTTGTGTGCTTTGCAACCTTGGCCCATCCTCTGGATTTCCTGCCCCAAACTAAAGTGTGGTGTGTATGTTGTAGGTGATTCAGCATTTGTGGCTTATCATACCTGCTAGGGGCTGGGCTCAGCCCTATGTCACATGGTTTCATTGGGTAGTACTCATGAATAAGTACTTCATTAGACCCATTTTACAGATGGGGAAAGTCAGGCTAAGGCAGGAGTCACTATTCCCAATCACATAGTCCTACGTGAATGAGCTGGGACCCTGATCTGTCTGACCCCAACACCCAAGCTCTGTGTCTCCCACTGACTTGGGAGGCAGATGCCAGATGGCACTTGGCCTCACGCAGCAGGTCTGGGTTCTGATATTTGCTCTCCCTGGAGACCCACAGTCATGGAGCAGAACATGTGTCCTCCCAGCCCACTGTTGGGTGTTTCCATTCCATCTAGTCACCCTCTCTGCAACCCAGGGGCTTGGGATGGTGAGCAGAGGGTAGGCTTGTGTTATGCCTCTTTTACAAATGGGGAAACTGAGGTACACTGTGGGGTTGGGGACTGCACT